CGTGAATAACCCTAAACGAAAAAACAAATTGGTAATTTGGATGGAAAAAAAAAACAGATTAACGACAAATTTATATTGCAAAATATAAATCAAATAAAAAGAAAATATGTCCAGATTATTTATTGACCTTGTCTAACCCATTTTTCATTGAATCGAACATATTTTATTGTTCTTTTTGTTTTTAACCCATATGTATATGCTAAATGAATATCATTATCATCACTTCCACTCCAAGAAGTTTGTAATAATGATGGATATGAATAATCTCCAACAATTGTACTATTATCGTCATCATGAACTTGAATATTTCGTTGATATGGCCAACTCATGCCGTTATCATATGATAGTGCTACTGTTAATGGTGATCGAGGTTCTCCTGCAGTGAGATTATTAAATGCCATGATAATACCTCCATTTCGAAGTGTATATGCTTGAATTCCTGAATTATCATTTGGTAATGAAGTTGGTATTGGTTTTGACCATGTTAATCCATCATCATTACTATCCGAGTAATAAATGGCAACGTTATTTTCATCTCGAAAAAATGCTCGCAAGTGTGATGAATTATTTAAACGAACGATTGTTGGTTGAATAAGATTATCACTTTTTTCTATATCAGTACGAATCCATTCAGTTGTGTTTGATGATGATCGAAGTATAAATGAATAGTCAGTCTCTGGTGAAGAATTATAACATGGCAATATGAGTCCATCATTGTTTAATGTAGGAATAATACGATTACGATCAAATGCACCTGGTAGAGTATAAAATGATTCAGGTGTTGACCATGTTATACCTAATAAAAAACAAATAATAAAAGGTTTCTTTAATTTATTGACATTTACACAATAAATTTACCTTGATCTTTACTTTGTAGATGCCATATTTCAGAATTAGTTTCACCTGCATTACCTAGTTGCGATGAATGATATAAATGTAACAATTGGGTTTGATTATTCCAAAAAAGAACTGGATTTTGATTTGAATAATTGACACGTTCACTGACAATAACACCTGGAGTAAATTGTTGTAATCCAAATTGTAAAAGTGATAGTGCAATTGAACAATTCGGAGTACCTTCACTACCTGAAAACCAAGCAACAGATAAAGTATGAGATGATGTTATTTCTTCGATAAATGCTGCATGATTGGCCGATCTTGGCGGAGAAAGATATGCATATGAAGTACCATCAGTTGATCGACGGATGATACCATCATATGTTGTTGTTGTTGTAGTAGATTGTGCTAAGTAGATGAAGAGCAAGAATATTGATAAAAACATGTTTCGATTATTCTTGTTTCAGCATAAATAAATTTTAAGGAGAATAAAAAAGCAGAAATAAAGAGCAGCTGAAGTCATTTCTCATAAAACTACCCTATATATTTTTTATTCTCTGATTCATCGGACTGCCTTAGTATGTTATTATAAATGTGGCGTGGTAACATTGGTAGATTATTTTATCATTTAGTTTCTGTTTTTATTATCACGTAGAACATACACTTATCTAAAAGAGCGTTAAAACAAAGCAAAAAAAAATGAGTAAGATAACAAACGAGAATGAAAAACAGGTTGATGCTGATTCAATAAAATCTACTGGATCAAATATTGGTACTGTCGTTGAAACATGTCCTGGTCGTTTTGAACTACGTACTGATAATCCATGGGAAGAAATTTGTGGTCATACACGTGCTGTACGACGTGGACCTTTTGTTATTATAGCTGGTACAACAGCTAGTGATCCTACAAAAGGAGTTCTTCATGTAAGTTTTATTTTAATTACATATAAAAGTATATAAAATAATCTATATGTATTAGCCCGAAAGCAGTTATCATCAAGCAGTAATCATCTTTGAACGTATTACTAATGCATTAGTAACCATAGGTGCTAAAGTGACCGATATTGTTCGTGTACGAATGTTTATGTTCGTATTATATACATATATTATTTCATTTAATTGACTATTTTATTTTTTTTTTCAATTTCAATTATAGTATTGATATAGCTGATCAAGATGAAGTCTGTCGAGCATTTAAAGAAGCTTTTCATTCTTATGGTATTCGAGTACCTGCAACACTTGTTCAAGTGAATGCTTTCGTTCATCCCGATATGCGTGTTGAGATTGAAGCTGATGCTATTATTTTATAATATATTTAGTCTTATATCTTAGTAATCGAATAAATCTATTTATAAGTATTCATAAATCTTTTTTACAGAAAAGAAAAGGTTGTATAAAAAAAACGCCTGATTAATATCAAAGTTCTATAATGATGTTATTGGATATAAAATATCTCTTCTAATATAAAATAAAAGATAAGCATCTCTAGAGATAATTTCATCTGCATACTCAGATGATTTTACACTTGTTACGGATGAATCATCAAATTTAAACCATTTATTTTTACTTGAGGATAGATCTTGAGCATACGCGACATAATGACCACCAAAAATTGACCCCATATGATTACACACAGCAATTAAATCATAAATAGCGTCATCGGATGATGATGATGATGATGATGGTAGAAATCTCTTTAAATCAAGTCCTTCTAATGGATAATCAACGAATGTTTCAATTTTTTGATGTAGACCATTTTCATGTGAAAATCGTTTGAATTGAATAATAAGAATAGATGGAAGTGTACGAAGTTTAAGTTGTTTCATTGGTATTACTTTTTTTTTACAATTTTCTTGTTGACATCTCCATTCATCTTCGAGATATTCTTTTGAAAAAAATTCTTCAAGACAATTGTCAAGAGTAGATGCTGTTTTCGGTTTTTCTAAAGGTTTAGGTCGAATATTATCACAGCGTTCTTCTTGTTCCATAAATATTAATTCATCACCAGTGATTTGACTAAGTGGTGTATTCAAGTCGACTTCTCCATCAGGTAACATGACAAGTACATAGTAAAAGAGTAATGGTTCATTATGTTTTTGAGCGAATGCTTCGACGAGATGTCCAACTTGTCCATCAATAGGTACATCTACAAGAGTAAGTTCATCTTTACCTTGTTTTGTAATAAAAGTAATCCAGAAACGACGTTCTTGACGATTGAGTGGTATAGATAAACTACTAATTGGATTTATTGTTGAGTCTTCTTTATGACATGCCGTACATGTTACAGTTGATGTTATTTCTCCGAAGAAAAGTTTTTTTATAATTGTATTTCTATCATTTTTATTTTTTGTCTTTAATTCTTGATGTATAATATCAAGAAGAAAAGTCATAAATTCTTGAGCATCTTGTTGATCACTTGAAGCAAAACGTGAATCTTTTTTACCCATATTATCTTTAATACGATTAGGTGTAAAAGTATACATATCAGGATTATTTTCATCACGTTT